ATATATATATATACACACACACATGAATGAAACATTACTTTATATAGTTTTTGCTGAATTTTAGACTTTACTAATAAAATAAAATCTTAGGCCATTTGTGAGGAACTTGAATTTGATGACAAGACTTGTAGATTTTCTATTTCAACTTCTATTTTCAACACAAATTTCTTAACCTTTTTTTTTCTACAAAGTGTGTCGACTTAGAGGAGTACACCAGACAAGCACCATTAATATCCAGCACACTGATAAAATCCTCTTTTTCAACAAGACTGATTTATTGCTTTAAAGAAACAAGAGGTTTCTGTTCCAAGTACAAAAATTCAGATGGTGTATCTACATATTTTGTATATGCTAAAGCCTTTTGTACTTTTAGGCCATGAAAACATAATTTAAATCTAACATAATGTGTCTTATATTCTTCTATAAAGGAAACCGGACTATAAAAACAAAATGACAACATATGGGGTTTACCTGCATGAGTAAACACTTTACAGGTAAATGTAAACACATGTATCCCTTTGCAYCACTAACCTTTTACACTTGAAGGTTTGTCAGCGTCTGTAAAGTCACAGATTTTGTCCCACTGGTCTCTAACAGCCTCGGGGGTCATCGGTTTGTTCTTCTGTCTCACAATCTTGCCTTGAGTACGCTCCCAGCGCACTGCACGCATGGACACACAGAAACAAAAAAAAGGGGGGTAGGGGTCAGTGCTGGGTGAAAATCCAACACGTACAGTACGAAGGAGCTGGAGGCTGATTAATATTACAAAAACGCAGACAGACATTTCCATAGGAAACCAACAATGTACTCACATTTAGCTATCCAGCCTCCACCAACCTGAAAAATAGATAAAACATAAAAACAAGCAATCACACGTGGATATTTAACATAAAAAGGTTAATTTGATAAAAACCGAACTTGTACTGTTATCAACATTAAAAATAAGAAGACACAAAGCTACAAGCAAAATGAGACGAAATGTGTTCATTTCCTGCTTACCTCGAATAGCCCTCCATTTTCTTGGCATTGTTCGTGACAGAGCCAGAGGACCAAAGGAGAAACATACTCAGGCTTCAGGGCCGCCACGAAGTCTAAATAACAAAAACATAAACATATGATGTGTTTTTCTTGCTCTGCACCTTCATTCGTCCTGAAACGGCACCACAATTTAAAAAGTGTTGGTGCTTTTTTATTTAATGACTTACATTTAGGCCATACTTAAAACGAGCATTTGTGCTCTGGAATCAGAATGAACACAACAGAGTACACGTTGCTGCTATTCTTGAAACATTTAAAAAAATAATACATAACCACCACAAAAAGCAAACAAAGATCACCATTTAGATTTTCGTGTGCAGAGTATCTGCTGCTTAAAGGGAGTGTGTTTGATAAAACAGCTGTGACGCTTATCAAAAATAGATTTTATCTTTTCACAGCAGATATTAAGACCACATCATGACTGAGTGCTTAATCGGATGTGAACTTTTTAAAAAAAACTGAGGTCTGAAAGCATATTAAATTATTCTGATGAAAATCTGGGTGGTTTTGGATGAAAAACCTTCACAGCTGATAGAAAAATAGGAGGAACCAAAAAAATAAATAAAAAAAATAATTGTCCCTAAACCTAAAAAAATGTTGGAATAAAGTCAGAAAACTATTAAAGCAGGAGCTTTTTAATCCCTCTTTAAATCATTAAATATTTATCTCCACATACACCATATGAGTTCTTAAAATATCTGTACCCTGGTGGTAAGAAGAAAAAAAAAGCCATTCTGCTTCGCTGCATTTTTTTTTTACTTTAAGCATGATGAGTTTTGTTCTTTGTCTTTCAGAAAAGTCTGAGTCAGTGAGCACGAACATATGGAACCAAGTCATTTACCAAGGTGAGGCCAGCTTGTGACAGTTGGCACAGCACAGCGTGACAGATGCTACTGCAGACGAGCACGGCACAGAAACAAAACCATTCCTCTAGTTTGTCACTTAATTCCCTCATCAACAGAGCTGTAGTCACTGAGCATGAACCACTAACATTTGCAAACACGGAGTTTGTTAGCTGGCCCAGTCTTTATCAAACCACACCACACACACAAAAATCCACACTGAATAAGTTTAGGTTTCATGTAATGCATGTATCACTTCTGAGATTTATTTCATATTGATTATGTTGTGTATCCAGTGCTTTTAAAAAAACATTTTAAAAAATGCATGCTAACATTTGGAAGCGCAGGCAGAACCATCAGTGAAATAAGGAGGCTAGAGCTGCCGGTTTAAATTTTTTAAACTAGTCACAGGGTGCAAGATTTGAATCGCGGCAAAGAAAACACAGCTGCTGAATATTAGATAACAAGTTTACAAGTCTACTGTAAAGGCCGTTGCTTCAAATTATGCAAATGAATGTTTCGTGTGCATTTAACTTGCAGATGTTCTATCTATTCATTTTGACCTAACCAAATAAAAACTAAAAAGCGTGTTTTTAAGAGAAAATAAGCTCCCACATTGCAAAAACAGACCAGCTCCATCTCTCTGCGTACCTGGCGGCATGACGGTTTCCGTGAGGCGTGAGCCAGCAACAGGAGCGATGGTGTTGCAGTGAATGTTGTGCTTCTCCCCCTCGATTGCCAAGGTGTTAGCCAGCCCGAGCAGGCCCAGCTTGGCGGCGCTGTAGTTGGCCTGGCCGAAGTTCCCGTAGATGCCCGCAGCTGAAGCGGTCATGATGATTCTGGCCACAGACAACCAAAGCCAACACAGTCAGCGTTAATGCCAAGTGACAGGCTTCACTGTGGAGTCAAAAGGAGACCGTGACATCCCACACACACACACACACAGTCTCACAGAGGAACACACACTTGTCATGCCTGTACAGACACAGACGGATGTGCAAATTTAATCCCACAATGAAAACTTACCATTGCTTTACACAAAATCCACATAAAGGGAGAGGGGAATGATTGCACCTTGAAAGGCACAGGCTGGCATTGAAGAGCACAAGTCTCATGCAGAAGTAATAAGGTTAAGCATCAATGCCACATTAACTGCAGGAGTCATCTGTAAATCACCCTCTCACTGGTCGCAAGTAAGCGGTGATCCATAACACGACATGCTCCTACAACATCAAGGGACCGGCGATGACGAATGTCAAAAAAACTGTTTGCGCACTTAAGTTGGGAAATCATCGATCGCATGGAATTTCCAGCCCATCGAGGTGTACCGTGCTAACACATTTACAGAGCGTGGCATGACAAAGTGTCGCATCAAGGACGTGCTGCAGATAAAAACCTTCAGTGTGTTTTACTTTTCAAAGCTCCCTAATAATGAGATCAGGAGAGTTGAGGCAATGGCATTTCGCCTCTTTATTTCTTTCTGATATGGCTTTTTCTTTCAAACGCATCACAAATCTGTCTTTGGGGTGACTGCGCACAAAGATTGAACTTCAATGCTAAACATATACACATTCAACAAAATATGAAAAACTTATTTTCCACCTCTATAGAAAAAAGCATTTAGTTGTCTTCAGAATGTTTATATAAAACCTGTAATATTTCTTTCTATATTCTTGGTAAGCTACGCCTGGGCTAAATTCAAATCTATTTTCTGCAGTGTTTGTTGTTTAAAACTACTTTTTTTTCCCCAAGCAGAGCACTTATAAAAAGCAACTTTTACCAATATAAGGAGTGAAGAAAACTATATGCAACTTTGCTATAATAATGATAAATCAAAACATGCAAATCTAAATAAAAAAAAGAATATAAAGAAAATTATATAATTACTAAAGAATAAAGTAATTAAAAACAATTAAACATGGTGAATTATCCTGAATGAAACAATGAGTAAACTGGAGCACAAAGTTAGGAAAAATGTCAAACAGGCATTAGAAACAGCCTGGAGGCTGCATCTTTACACAGATTTGCTACACGCTTCAGGAGGAAACCGATTATCATTTTGCTAAAGTTTACTTTTCCATTTCGAAAGGACAAATTCTTCAGCTGTGAATAACTTGTTTCCAAAGCAGATTAAGACTCTAAGAATGTTTTATCAGTAAATAAATGATAAATTAGATAATTATTCTTTCCCCATTTACGCAAGAGTACAGGTACATGACGGGGGAATTGGTTTGTCAGAGCAAAGAGGGTGCTGAGGAAAATAAAATCTAGAAATCCCTGCTGTAGCTGGTATGTATCTGAAGTCTCTACTTTGAACCTATAAATGCAACAAGAAGAGAGTGTAAAGAGTTTAAAGAGCATTCTTGGTCAGATTTACAAACAAAAACACGTTAGCTGTTGTTAGCTGTGCATACCTGCCAAAATTTTGCTTTCTCATGTGGTTCCAAGCAGCTCGAGTCACCATGAAGGAGCCTCTCAAGTGAATTCTATGAATGAGGTCTGGAAATGAATAAATAACAACCTGTTTTTACTGTCTGTACACATACATTGGGATAACTTTGTTGGTATCTTTCAGCTCGTTAAATAGTTCTTTTCTAAAGGAACAGAGATTCAGTTATAAGTGATTGTCTGATGTTTATCTGGATACTTTCAGTACATGAAAGGGTAAAAATATGGGATTTTTTTTTTGATAGTGTTTGATTCCAATTTGTATGACATGTGCCTTCAAGCTTTTCAACAATTCAGTCTGTTTAAAGGGAACAAACAGCCTCTGGGTAGTCTGATATTGTGTTCATATACCACAGCTGCCTATTTTATTAAAAGGTACAAGTTTCACAGGACTGTAGCCAACTTCCCAGGATGTGAACGCAAGAGGAAATGCGACTCCAGGTTGATCAGACAGACAACGTAATGACAGAAAAAAGCCACAGAAATCCCCCAAACCCATTAAAGGTCAAGGTACATCACTTTCTGATGGTCCCATCCATCACATTTTACATCATAATGGACTCCATGGAAGGAGACCCAGGAGGGCTCTACTATTGGCAGAAAAACACAAAAAAGTCAAGACAGGAGATTGCCAAAATGGGTTTTGGCAAGCCCAAAAGTCTCTAATGGGACAAAACTAAAGCTTTTTGGCCAGTCAGTCATTTTTACTATTATTGTTGTTGTTGAAGGGTACCAATAAATTTATTTTTGTCTGTGCATTACATACAAATCTATAAGTAAAATAAATTAAGGGGGAAAAACACTGTTTTACTTATATTTATAGCATGGGGATGAAAAAAACTAATTTTGATTGGCTCAAAAAGTATGAGTTAATAGGAGAAAAGTGCATGTGAAGACATTAATTACCCCAGTCCAAATCGCTGGTCCTGGAAAATGATCGGTCACGAAGTATCCTGAACAAAAATTAAACAAAACTTAGTTTTRATTTTTTTTTTTTATCATCTGTAAGGTCAACCTAAGTTTTCATTCACACAATCAGTGACTTACGCTCCAGTGTGTCTCTCTAAGAGCAGATAGAATTTCATTATTAACAAGCAAATTGAATTACTATGAAATAACTTACCCAGCATTGTTCACAACAATGTCTGAAAGAAAAACATATTGCCAGAATAAATTAATACCAGTAAAATCATGATCCCACTTAAACATAGGCAATGACTACAAGTTTCTAACTCAATAATGTTACACACCAATTCTTCCAAATGCATCCAGAGCTGTTTGGACCAGCTTTTCTCCATCTTCTACAGAATCTGTACATGCAAAAAAAAAAAAAAGACTATATTAAACACAGCAGAATCTCATCTAGCATGTTGATTTCAAAAATCTACCAATGAGAAAGAGTGAGGCTCATGATCAACTTCAAACTATAAAAACTTCATTTTTTTCTCCCTAATATTAAAGGTTTAAACTGATGGTGAGGGCCGAAAGATTTTTACCGACCACTTTGAATCGTTTGCTGCAAAGTGAATAAATAATAATAATAATAATAATGATCCCTCTAAACAAAACTGACACAAATCTAAAGATGAAACACACTGACTAAAGCTTTGTTTTGTTCTTTAAAGTAAGATTTTTTTTTCCTTTCCCCCCAAATATATGAGAAACACAAAAATGAAGGTCAGGATAAAAGATTCATTTTTCTTCAACACTCACTAACAGATTCATCAGTGAGCGAGGCAGACTAAAAGGAATCAATACCATTTTTTTCAGTCTGCCATTAGAGAAACTAACTGAAAAAAAAAGAACGGATAGAAGTCCAAATTTCTCACCGTAGTTTGCCACAGCTTTGCCTCCCTTTGCTCTTATCTCCTGCACCACCTTATCAGCAGCTGCAGAACTCTTCCCACCTCCTGCTATATCTACCCCAAGGTCATTCACTTTATTGCAAAGAGATGACAAAGATTAGCAACAACAGGATAAATTATGCAATTCTCAGATTACCCTAATGGAAAATAAATGCTGATATCTATTAAATGTTAAGTGGCACTGCAATCTAAGCAGTACTGGAACATAGGCACATGTGCAGAATAAGAGATCATCACTGCTGTTGCTCACTGCAAAATAGACACATCTCAAGCACATTTTGAAGTACAATTTTTCTCTAGCACACTTCCACACAAATTTAAGAATTTACCATGAGATAGATMGTCAGATTTTTCTGGATGGCTTTAGGCAAGTCCAGAAACCCCTGTCAACATGGCTAGATAGATAGATATCAGCATGTTTTCCAGCAGTATCATAAGTAACATTAAACAGGACACCTTGGACCTAGCAGTTCTTGCTTTAGCAGTGTCTTGCAGGCATTTAGATTTTTTTTGTCACATATTCATTTTCACTGCTGTTGCTTTAGTAAATAGTTGTAAAATTATAGCAAACTAGTCTTAAAATGTGTATATGGGTATTAACATTACTAAAAAGAATATACAACTAGTGAAACATTAAAACAGAACTTTAGGTTAAAAAGTATCCATCTTTGCATCAGATTAAAATATGTTTCAAACTAGAGCTTACTTTAGGTGCAACAAACAATAGTTCACATTCATGTTATTATTTATTACAAAGTACCAACTACAGAGGCTCCTCTTGCAGCAAAAGCCAGTGCATAATCCCTGCCAAGACCTGTGAAACAAAAAACACAGGAGAGTCAACAATAAATACTTTTTGTAGATTAAAAACGTAAAAAAAATAACAGTAGCCACGTCTGATGTGTTTTTTTTTTGTATCGTGCCCTTTCACCTACATTCAGCAAAAGGCCATGACATGTACTTTTCTACCTGTCCAGTACTTTTTAAGAACACAAAAATCTTTTACTAAAATAACAAAACAGTTTGTCCTGCCAAGAGTTTTCTGCTGTTGTTTAGTTTTGCAGGGCTGTCACAAGTGATAGCAATCAGCAAACTGTCTTAACTGGGATTGTGCTAAATTATCGGCGTACTAGGTGCTTCTGTAACTTTCCTGACAACCCGTCAAAAAAATAAACTTAGCAACGTTAGCATCTGAAGCTAACGTTATGCTAAGCCATTTGATCTGACCGAAGAGCAAACTTTACCTCCTCCAGCGCCAGTGACGAGCACGACTCTTCCCTCGAATGACAGAGACATTTCTGCAAGATGCTATTTCTTCGTTTCAAGGGCAGCACCACCAGCAATGACAACACCGCCAGCACTGACAGCAGACAGCAAGGATGAACTCCTGCAAGTTTGATTTCCGCATTGAGGAGGGGACGGGCTTCTCCGTGACCAATCAGGGACCGAGATTTTGTGACGCTCCTCCCCAATCCTTTGTTTGAGGTCTGCGGACTTTGAACAGAACACTGACTTTCAAAGTCATAAATCAGTTAGTGTGTGTCATTTCTGTGAGTCTATCTTGATATTATCGGCCCTGGTTAATTTTTCTAGGAACAATTTTGATGGCAAGCAAGCTCACTATTGTCTAGCAAGAAAATCAACAACCAGGGACTGTGAGTTTTGCAAGTAGGCCACAAGCCGGGCTGTAAGTTAAAATAAGTATTTTTAAACTAACTTACAACTAAGTTATGTTAGTTTCTCTTCTTTCAATATTATATTATATATAATATATATGTTATATCTTCAACCCCACATTACCAGCATCACCTATTTGCATCCTGTAATTAAACTTAGCAGAAAAAGTAATAAAATAAGTGTTTGGTAGATTATTTCTTTGTTGTAACAATGCTTCTTGGTAATAAATCTTATAACAAGCACCTTACTGGCAGCACCTGAGGTTACCAGAAGCTCAATACAATAGCATCAGAAAAAAATAAACTGTTTGGAAGAAAAGATTTGGCAAATCAAAATTTTCACATGCGCAACCCACATACACAGCTCTACTGCCCATCACACAAATGCGTGTTCCTTACAAATGTGGCGCCATTTAAAAGAGAAATTAACAGGCTTTCTTTTATTTTTTATTTGATTTATTTTATTTTTTATTGCCGAGAAGCACACAAATTAAATATTCTACCATACGTAAATTTTCTTACTTTTTGTGCTAAATATTTTTTGACAAAAACTAATTCAGCATGAATATGTGTTTTGTTCAAAAATCAAACATTTGAAAGCAGTAACTTGTAGAAATTGTTGTCTGTACGAGTCTGACCTTATCAGTATCTCATGAGTGGATGACTTTTAGGACACTAAACTTTGTCACAGTTTCAACATTTTTATTCATTTGCAGCTAAATAATAACATGGCATAATACGTTTTTCATATGAGATTGTAATTTTAAATATTAGATCATGAAATGAACTATAAGAGGGTTAATTTTTCACATGACTGTAAGACACAAAAGGGAATGTGTTTTATATCCGTGCATTTTTATGCCTCTGACAATACTGGCTCTCTTGCTGCTGCAAAAATCTCRAAGTTCTTGTCATGACTTTTTGTTGAAGCTCGTCATAACAAAACTTGTCATCCTCAGTCAGCTGTGGAACAAGCAGGAATAGGTCCCCCAAAGCGTGTGAAGGTAAGCATACAGGGAATAATAATGTGTAAAAATAGACTTTTGTACGTGAAAAATCCTTTATATAAAAACCAACATTGCTTCGCTGTTTTGTTTTGTTATATGTTACTATTGTTTTGGTGTAAATGTAAGCTTCAGATTGTTAAATAAAGTGTTGGAGAATTATTAAACAAACATACTTTTCTTATTTTAAACTATAGTTTCTTTTGTCTTTTGTTTCTACAAAGCCACACTTTTTTGAAGTGGTCGTAATGAAGAGTTTTTCAAGCTTTCTGGAAGTATTTCATTTATTTTTTTTATTTTATTGATATTGCCTGATTTTAAACTAATTTTGTCCAGTTTCATGACATATCAGTGCTATGTACATTATGTTATTATGTAAGCAAAACAAAACAAATGATGAATGAAACAACTGTCAGTTTACATTGTTCATATAAAATAGCTTAAAAATATTGAGAACAAATCATGTTTATTGTGACACTTGAATAAATTCATTTAGATTTAAGTGGCTCAATGAACAAAACATAGGCCTACCTCTTGAAAAAGTGAAAAAGCACCCAAAGTCCAAATCGAAAACATTGAAAGTTTCACAGAAAAGACTGTAGAATGTGGATCACTTAAAACAGAGATTCTCAAACTGGGGTCCCTGGACCCCCAGGGGTCTGCGTGAGGTATCTTGGGGGTCCTCAAAAATTTTTTTAAGAAAATGTTAATTTGGTTTTTGTTTTTAAAAGTGCATGGAGAACATTGAACAAATAAAACAAACACAATAAACTTATATAT